GAAGATCCTTAAAAAAGTACAATTTCTCAAAAAAAGTAAAATTGAAAACGTTTAAATGCCATTAATTTAAATTCTGAATGAATACAGAGAAGATTACGAAAGTAGTAATCAGTCAGTAAGTGATAGCGGCAGTGATTACAAACCTTCAATAAATATAATTAAATAAAAAATTAAACAAAGAACAGTCGAACCTGTTAAATTGGTTGAGCAAAGTTGAGTACAATAAAACTGCCACAGTGTGTTAACAACTTCAAATGACTTGTGTTGATCTTTCTGCACCAACTCAACCAGCAATCCATATCAAATTCATCAGAAAAGGTAAAATGTTAAGAGATAAATTGAGAAAAGAACAAAAAGTCGAGAAGCGGTGTTTGCATTTTGATTGTAAAAAAGTAACTGGGGTGGAACATCAAGTTGTTGTGACAAAGAACGATGAAAGAGAGATTAGGCTAAAGCCAAATATATTAATGTATGAAAAGTAAGAAAGCTTTAAGAACTTCGAAGACTTTTGAATGAATATAATTTATGGGGATCTATAAAATGACAAACACTACAAATGTTAATCCTGGGATAAAGTGATGTGATAAAAAGATTTATGATACATTTTGAAAGTGTTGGTTTTGAGAAACCTCGCTATGTTGGTTGTCGGAACCATATAATAGATCAAATAATAAAGTTATGTTTGGATGACTTTTTTGAAGTTAATAACATCCACCTGATCTGTCATTTTATTTTATTGAATCAATACGTAGTAAATATGATTATTTAACATCAAACTTTAATAATACTGATTCTAAATGCTATGCCTTTTAGTGAAACTGTACTATTATCAGCAGTGGACGCCTTTGAGATGCATAATTATTTTAAAAGAGTGAAGCGGAACGAGGTAAAAGAACAAAAGGACAGATATCCAGTGGAAAGCAAAGAGCTTCTAAGAAAAATGCTAAAATTAATCTACATACAACAAGGTAAAAATATACAAAAACAATAAACAATAGTCTAAGAAAGTAAGAGTCATTAACTGTTGTGCTACTATAAAGTTATTAGTGTCGAGTATAAATGCGATGCATAAACAATGTCAGTGATTGAGCAGAATTATTTATTTTTTAAGTAGTTACCATGTGATCTGTATTATAGGGTGATGAACACATATTGCCCAGAGGGCATTTTGATGTCATAAGGACGTCCGTAAGACGCCTTATTCATCGTCCATAAGACGTCCGTAGTTGGTCTCAAATGAAAGGCTTGAGGACAACTATTCCAGACGTCCTAAAGACGTCTTTTTAAGACATCCTAGAGGCGTTCATTGTAGACGTCTTAGAGATGTCTTTTTAGCCGTCCTACGGACGTCTCTGGCAGGTCTCATGTGAAAGAACTAATGACGTCTTATTCAGACGTCCTAGAGACGTCCTAATTTTACCTAGACATCCTTTTGAAAGTTATATAAAAATGCATTGATATACAATACAAACCTTAGATTTGATTTAATCTAGGCAAGTGAAGATATAAAGAAAAATCAAAGTAAATAAAGTGTTATTTGATATACTTAAAATAAATTATTAATTTTACAAAAATTTAGAAAAATATTTTAAACACATTTACACTTTCCAAGTTAAATACTAACATATTTTGTAGAGTATAATCGATAGAATATTAAAAGTAAAAGAAAATTCCTGAGAAATGCAAAATAAATAAAAAAACAGAACAGCTGATTGTAATTAATTACCCATCATTAATCAATATCGATAGTGGTGGATGTTCTCTTTAATCGGTCAGAAAAATGCCTAGTTACTCTCCCAAAAAGTTGCATTAGATCCATTTTGGTAAAGTTTTTATTTGACTTAGAAGCAGCATCTAATAAAAACAACAATACATAGATCAATAAGATCATAAAGTAAAATACACTAAAATACATGTCATATTCCATAGCCAAATAAATTAATTTTTTTTTTTTTTTTTTCTATTAAAATATCTTTTTTAATTTTATAAGTAAATAAACATAATAATAAGCTAATGAAAATACCTGTAATAGCAATACATGAACTTGTCAAATCTTTAAAATTTTTGTTTTTCTTTAGACAATTCATGCTGCATTATGAAAAAAAAGTCTCAGTTGTCAGTGTAAATATATAAAAAAGATGATAAATGCCATGCTGTCAAACATGAATGCTAAAATTCGAACTTTTGCTAAATACTTTCATTAGCAAAATATTTTTAATTGCATCAGCTTGATTTTCACCTACAATTAATGATAACTGTTTTACCTAAAAAGAAACACTGAAAAAGAAACATTGAAAATTCTCATGACAATTTAAAAGAAATAATTAAATAATATATAACATATAAACTTTAAAGATGAAATTAACGCATACAAAAGTGATGTATTGGATACCTCCATTTGGAATTTTTCTTTTCAAAATATCAAGTTCATCTGAACTCTGACGCTGTTTAAAACCGTCTTCTGGATTATTAGGGAACTGTGCAGTTATATCTACTAAAATGATTTTCATTTCAGCAAGATAGAACATAACTTTTCTATGAAACTCTAAAAATTAAAATAAAGAAGTGAAGCCATATAAACAGTACAAAATGTATTTAATATTACTTTTAAGGTAAATTTAAACTAAA